TACTAAACAAAAAAAGTCTTATAAAAAAGTCAACCACCATAAATGCTTTCATAAATTTTTATCACACTAGTCCCAAGCAAGTATTTTGTAATCGTATAGTTGGCCTGGCTACAATGTACATATTCACATATTTCATTACCCTGGAAACCATTTTATTGTTACACCTGAATTCAACTGAAAAGGTTTAACTTGTGTTCTGACAATTAATCAACCTTAGTTGAATAACAAGAACACTTAACTTCTGCATAGAATCCAAGAAGCTTCATTTAGAAGCGTCTACTTAGGAGCTTCCACAGAAGCTTCATTGAGAAGAGTTAGCCTTCAACAAACAGTTAGACAACAAAAAGTTAGAAGCGTTCCAAAGCAGCTTCAATTAGAAGAGTTAGCCTTCAACAAACAGTTAGACAACAAAAAGTTAGAAGCGTTCCACAGAAGCTTCATTTAGAAGAGTTAGCCTTCTTAGAAGCGTTCCAAAGCAGCTTCAATTAGAAGCCTTAGTCTACTTACAAGTCTTCCACAGAAGCTTAACTCAGAAGTGTGAAAAAGAAGCGTTCCGAAAAAGCGACATAAGAAGTTAGCCTACTCCGCTAGACAACCTTCCTATCCCTTAGACCAGCATCTCCACCTTTTGAAATGGACGCCCTAAGGAGGGCTTGGTAAGTACTATTTTCTGGCTCTATTATGCACAACATTAGTTGTAGATCTAGTACGGAGAGTTCTTAGTTTTTCTAATTATTGAAAAAATAGGTTTTATACCACGTTTACTTATTAAGCTAAAAAAACCTTACAGATTCTAATGTAATCCAATCAGTAGCCATTGACTGTAAAACAATGTACTAAACAATCTTTGTTTCCAAGTACGTTTGGTAAAACTGTATTACAATTAGAAAATTTGGTATGTTTCTTCAGGGAGGAGCATGGTGCCCTGTTGGCCGTAGGGGGGCTGGGGGCCGTTGTCACTGTGGTGTCGGTGGGTATCTGGCTGTGGGGTAGGTGGAACGACGACCCACCGGCACCATCCCCCCCGAGATACTCGAGCCGGTTGTTGATGACCCCACCACCTACCACTCCACAACGGGAAGTCACATTAGCTGTAATAGATCTGGACTGAAATTCATCAATTTGGAAACAATTTGTTAATAAAAAAATCAATAAATTTTTGTGATTTTAAGGGAGTTTTTTTATAGCTTCTAAACAGTTTTTTTTACAAACACATCATTTGCCATTGGCTTAAACCACTGGCTTTCACATTCGTCAGGTATACCCTCTTCATAATTTTGGAATACGTTTAATAGGGTAAGGCAGTGCTTTATATTATACTAGGCGTTTAAAAAAGTTAGGGACATAGTTCAAGTAGAGATGCTTTGGGCGAATATAATCAAAATGTTTATTTGGAAATATGTCATGATGCGTTTTGTTTAGCCTCTTTCTGTCCGTATACGTTTTTTTACCTAAACATTCATGAATCCTGATGGTTTGAACTACATTGTTGAGATTCTATAACATAATTTGACCGAATTTTTATTTTATCTTTGCGTCAAACTATGAGAATAAAACAATCTTAAACCACTTAAATATTGTGGTTATTTTAAATAGTTGATGCTGAATTTCACAAACTTCGGTCAAATTTAGTAAATTCTATGGATATAACAACGATATCTTAATAAGCTTAGTTAGGTAAAAAAAACCTCAAGAGGAGTTTTTAAACCTTTTTCCCTTGTATTTTATCAACGGTTATTTTAGGGTTTTTTAATAACCGTTTTATACTATTTTATGAAAATAATATATTAAAATATTGCATGTATTATAAATGAGCCATGACTAATTCCACCGGGCGAATGTCATGACTCATATTCAATGGTTCAAGTGTTTTTAGCGAATTTCCCATAAGGGAATAAGCTATTACCGTAGTACTCATGGTAAGACCTGGACCCGGGACCGATTTACTTTTTCGTTTTGAAGTCCCTAGAGGCCAAAAAAACCATCCGTTCAAATTCATATATATATATATATATTTATATATGTGTCCGTTAGCGCGATAACTCGAGCAAAAATCATCCGATTTTGATGAAATTTGGTACAAACGTGTAAAACTACGTTTATTCGAACGAGTTCGCGAACCAGCATGATCAGACTATGGGAACAGGGGTTTATGGGGGGTTTTATGGGGTAAAAATTGGTTTTTCCCATTTTTGAACCTAAAACCTTAAAATTTAGCAATTTCTTTTCAAACCATTTTGTAGAGCTTAAAAAAAACAAATTATTTAGTATATTGAAGCGTTATTATGCACCTAATGGTTACGGAGAAAATTCCAAAAATCGGTCAATTTAAAATTCCCATGTTATTCTTATGGAGAAATCCGATCAGGCAAATGGAAATTCGCTTAGTCTGCAGGTTTGCTGCGGCGGGGGTATTTTATATTTTTAGCTGTTCACAGCAGACAACAATGAAAAACAGGAGGTTATGATGAAGTAATGGCAAAGAGCATCTTTTTTTATCAGCTTCAAAACTAGTTATAAGATGGATACAACTCTTGCAAAGTTTTTTTCTGAAACTAAAATTTGGATTATCACAGAGTAAGATTAATGTCTTTTCATTTACAAAGTTAACAAACACAATATCAATCATATCAATCATTAGTTTATCTCAGGTTCAATCCAATTTCTTAGTATATTTTAAAGCTCTTCCAAAGAATCAAAATACCCAGGCCTAGACCTAATTATTTAGGAGGGCCTATATATAAATTGATTAGGTTAATGAGGGTAGCAAAATCACTATCTAGTTCATAAGATTTAGATTGCATAAAGTACCTTCAACACAATAAAAATACAGGAAACTAAATAAACATTTAAGCTAGTGATGTGACGAGTCGGGTACTTTCCTGACTCGAGTGACTCGACTCGCCAACTGCCGTGAACTCGAGTTAAGAGTCGAGTCAGACTCAACTCGAAACTCGACCTGTAACCAATGCATCATGGGAGTCAGCAATGACTCGGAGTCGACCAATAGGGTTATAGTTTTGAGAGTCGGCCGACTCGGTAGCGGCCAATAGCGTATCAGCTTTACGAGTTGAGTCGACTCTACTCGAGACGTTCCGAGTTTGTGTAAGTTCGGCATTCTCCGTATGAGTTCTATTATACAATTTGAACTGACACAGATCCCGCCAGACTCGCACTCGGGCAATAGGGTTGAATCTATGCGAGTCGACTCGTAAAGCTGTGACGCTATTGGCCGAAAGCGAGTCAACTCAAGTCAACTCGTTACGTCCCGAGTTCGTAAAGGTTCGGCTTTCTCCGTATGAGTTTGGTTTCTTGACTTGCTTTGAGGCTGTGAGCCAATAGCAATAGCGTTTAAGTTTTGCGAGTCGGACTCGTTACGTTACGAGTTGGTGTAGCTTCGGCAATCTCCGTACGAGTTCGTAATAACTCGAGTTGTTGAATGAGATGACTCTAGTTGACTCAACTCGGGTCTTGACTCGAGTCAACTCAACTCGCCACATCACTAATTTAAGCCTTAAACAGCCATATCTAACAATATAAGACAAGATACAGAACATGCAATGACATAATTTGAGACCGAGTAGGCTTGCATAACGATAAAAAAATTATGCAAACAACAACGTCTATGCTTGTGGTTTCTCAATAAGAAGATAAAATATCCATAACAAATATTTTAACTTATAAAATAAGATTCTAGACTAGTTACAAGTTTAATATGTAACCATAAACAGTTTTATGGCAGTAGGCAATTGCCAACGGCAAATTGAATATTCACAAAAATACTGACTGAGTTAGAGATAACATTTAACAGTCATCATAAAACTATTATTTTTATGATAAAATAGAATTGGGGAAAGTCATAAAAGAAATAAAAGTGATAAAACTCAGTTCTTGGAAGTACTTGAATACAACAATTATTGTTGTGATAAAATGTTAATGGATTTGGTACTGCTAATGGGTTTTTTATTGTATCATGACCCTAGTAATAAATTATGAAGATTGTAAACAAACATCTGATAAGACTTTTATGTGCTCCCAACCAACTGCCGTTGACTACCATAGTAAACTGAAAGTAATTTATTATTATAATAGGTTGTACCGAACCGATGCCGGTAATTAAGCCTGTACCGTACCGACTTTTTCGGTGCACCGCAGACCCCTAATCTTAATTGTAAACAGTCAATACGTTTGCTAATTTAACAGTTTGCTACAAACATTTACTGACTTGGTTGAAATGAAATATTTACTATTTTAATTTGGGTTGGTGTAAATATTACAATGGAAAAAAGCGAGAGAGCCTGGAGAAATTGATATACTAAAAAGAAAACTGAAATAACACTATGCTGTATTTCTTAGTAATCATTGAAAGAGTCAATTTGCAAACTATGGAAACATAGGAAAGTCATATAATACCACCAAGTAGAAGAAATAGAAATAATAAATTTTTTTAAATTTACAATAGTTATTATGGACAACCTAATGCGACTATGAGTAAGGCTATTTGTAGAAAACACTAAAAAACAAGACCAGCTTTTGAAAAATGATAAGATATTTACAAGAAATGTTGATTATATTGATCTGTTATGTACATCTTGAGTATTTCCATAACCTCTGAGTCAAATCTTTTAAAGTCATCAGACATTTTTACTGTTATTCCTTTTAAAAACAAAACACCTGTAATACTTAGCAATTGCTCGAATTTGAGCAACAGGTACACTAGTAATTCTATAAAAAGCCAAATATTAAACTATCATAAATAAAGGAAGAAAACCTGAATTTCGGCAGAAGCAGATTATATTATGTTATACTTGAATATAAATTGGCCACAGCTGGTGTATGTTGAAGGGATGTCTACTTCAGTATCCAATAGCCAATAACTACTCCAAGTGTGGAGGCTGTTGAATAAACATATGCTAACCTATCCTCGGAGACTTTGTGATGGACTCATATCCCCTGGGTTTGATCTGTAAGTTTTGTGTTGATGAGAGTTTGTTGTACAGGGTCAGATGGTCAACTGTTCAGTGTAGAGTTGCCAACCCGAGAGCCGGAGCAGTTTCCTGGCAGGTCATTGGCAACACTGGCATTCATCAGTCATCGTCACCCAGCCGCAATCTTGCCACTCAGTCCCACCCATGTAGCCGTGTATGGAGCTGATGCTAGTGAGGAGGGTATGTTTATATGTTTTAAAACTATTATTAGGCTACACATAAGAAGTTTGGCAGTAAGATTGAGAAATACTTGGATGAAATCCTAATTTTTGCAGAATATCTCCCCTACAGTTGCCTGTTATTTTTACTTGCAAAACCATGCAAAAAAAAAAAAAGAATAAAAAGAATAAAAGAAAGAACACACATGCTGAACTATAGCATCTTTTTGTCCCATAAACTATCACAGTTACAGAAACTAAGGGGGGAATTAAAATTCCAACAATACAATACTACGCTACAATCTGTGAGTGGCTCATTTATTTATGTCCTATCTAAATAGAAAATAGGCTACAGCTGGTCTGTATATTAGAATTCATTCCTACTACTGGAACGTCAGTTATTAATAATAATATACTGTTACCTTCTAACGTTCCAAAATGGTGTGGTCATACGACGCGTTTCGTCAACACAGTGACATCATCAGGTGATCCGCTATCGCTTCGTCTTGAACATTAACACAAAACACATATCACGAACACGAACACGAACACATAATTTTTACATATAAGGACCGATCGGTATTGTCGTCGCTGTGGCCACAACTCGCGTACGCACATGATTAATTCTGGGCGACGACTCCCCCCAGATGGTCTGGGTCTGTATAGCTGAGGGGTCTACTTTATTTATCCAAAAGTAAATGCTAGTATCCGTTTCATTGTGTAACTGACATTTCTATCCGATTTTATTCAGGAGCACTTCTATTCATCTTCAACACACAACTGTGTGTTACGCAGTGCAAGCAGTACTTCAAGCTGTACACGACGCCTGCGAGGCTCTGGGAGGTTGGCAGCAGTGCGGTGTTGCTCGCTGCCGGACAGTACTTGGCGGTGGTGCCGTATCAGCTGGGCAAACAGAGGTTGGCAGCACTGGTGGGTTCACAGGAAGGTGACGCTCCTCCCACCACAATGCAGGAGTGGGGCGATCAGGCCGAGGACGACGAGGAACACCAGGTGTCGACACAGCATCTGCAAAAACTACTGCAGATGTACATGGAAGAGGGGATGTCACAGAGAATGTGAGTTGTAAACTACACCTCGCTAATCTGACCCTCGATAATTTAGCATATTCATTGATCCGCCTTTTCAAATTTTATAAGGCTCTTTGCCATGTTCGGCAATCTTCGTGTGCAAGTTTCTGAGGTTGGGTTTAATAGGATGGATAGCCTGATGCATATTAATAACTTTTGACTGATTTTAAATACAATAGATATCCAACCACCCAGATCAATTGGGAATGAACCCCATCTGGATGGTTGGCTTTCTCAAGAAAAAATTATACAGTCATAGTCCACAGTCAATACGGCTACACAACAGATTTGCCACCTGATGACACACAATAAAATATGTAGGCCTAACAGATTGCTGCACACTGCAATTAATAATTTTCTGGCCTAGAGCTCTTTACAAAGAATACGTAAATAACTGATATGATTGTTTCCGTTACAGGATCAGTCAAAGTCTGTTTTTACCAACTTTAGATGCCTGCGATGTTGAAGGATTGACCAGTTTAGTGAAGAGCCTCAACGATATTCCAGAGTCCTGCATCCTGTCTGTTATCATGTTCTGTCTCAAGGTAAATGTAATGGGAATAAATATAATTTTTGTTTCGCTATATGTTGGTTATTTAGACAGCAACTAACTATAACTAGTCTTGTGGACTACTTCACACATCAGTATCAAATTGTTTAATTCACTTAATAGTAGTTTACGCAAAAATTATTTAATAATAGTCTTTACAACATAAAGTGGAAATGTAAGACTTTAATGAGTGTCGCAAAGACTAATCTCACACGTTTTACGTTGGTAAAAAACACATTTTCATTGATTAATCCAACTTAATTTTTTTATGTCCATTCGATGGTTGGTGAATTTTCTCGTAAAGTTTCTTTGTTTTAGGTGGTAACAGATTTTTATAAACCGTTTGAGCCCTTACTTCTATGTTGTCTATTTCACTAGAACTATCTGACATTTGCAAAATCTTTTTAACTTATGGTTAGCAAATCGTTTAGTTTACCTAAGGAAAGAATGTGCTAGGTTCTGGTGGAAGTCGGCAGATGAACAATGGAAACCTGGATTGAAAAAGGCCAGATTAAAAAACAGTCGTAGGTAAAGTTATTTTCATAATTTTATTTACGTATTGAAAAACTGGTAAGTTAAGTTCACACGTTTCGAAATACAGCAGTAAAGTACTGGCTATGGTAAGATACGTAGCCAAGCCAGTGGTGACTTAAGGTAGTGCAAGCTGCTGGTCTGCAATGTCTGTGCTCAGCTTAAGAACCTAACACTGAGCTGTTGTGAACCATGCTAAGCCAAGTATCTGATATGTACTAGTCATCATGTCATCAATGAAATTATGTATTCATTGTCATTTATTTATTTAGTAAATAAAGTACTTATGAGATGAATTGAAACCACATTTTTTTTGCCTATTAAATAATTTCAAAAGGCCTAGTAAATGATTGTTTTCTCACACCATGTTGATATTAGTACAGGAAAGTGACCTTTGATCACTCCATCTTACTTATTAGATCGAGTACCAAGAAATCATGTGATATTTCCTTGGGATATGACTACACTGTCGCAAGTATGTTGAGAACTCCTATCTGCCAGGCTTTACTCCTGCGACTGAACAGTACTTCTTATTGTTTCTGTGCTGGGTAGCATAACCCAGTTTGTCAGTTAATCACCTTCTTATACTTGCATATCACTGTCCTACCCCTCCAATGTTAGTGGAGCAAATGGGGACCTTGTACATACAACATCTTTACAACTGGTTTTTAATTATTTACTTTGTTCTCCGACCATTAAGCTTATTCTAACTCGGTCAGTTGAAGTCGGACAATTGAGACTCTGTAACCAGGGTTAAGGTCGATTTCTTAACAAACCAACAAAATCCCTCTGGCGTATACATTATAAACGAAAATTTAATACACAGGACATAGAAAAGGAAGGCTACAGAGAGTTGCTGCGGAGAGTGCTGCTGGTGCCTGTGACCCCGGACCTGCCCACACTCCGGTTGCTGCGGTCCCGCCTGGGCCTTGGCTACGTACTGCAGCTGCTGCGGGAACTAACTGACACATTGCTGGACACACCGGGGGAGCCTCGACTGATAGAGTGGGCCACACTGCTGCTGGACGCTCACTACCAACAGTATCTGCTGTCCAGGTACGGTCTAGAACCTTGCTATTCCAAAATCGGTATTTTACAAACCATAGGGAAAATAAGAAGTAGCCTACACAAGCTTAAAGAAAGAGACTAATTTTTTGTTATAGTAAACAAAGAGATTAATGCTGTATGAAAATTCAGATCAACCCTTTTAAAAAATCTAGCCTGAAATTAGTAAAAATTAAAATGTCAATAAACATTGGAAATTGAAGTGTTAACTTACAAGTTACAGCCCATGTCAGTTACTTTACAAAATGAAAATATAAAAGAACAACCAATCACTGTAACAAGAAACTTGGAAGTAAATAAATTTCTGACGAAGAGCGCTAACTTGATATATGATGCAATTTTTAAATCGATTAAACTTTATGTCAAATGTTGTTTATTGATTGGTTGGAAGAAGAAAATTAATTACCTTATTGAACATGAAAAGCTGGTTATCATTTCATAGGGGTCTGCGGTGCACCGAAAAAGTCGGTCCGGTACAGTACAAGCTTAATTACCGTCATCGGTTCGGTACAGCATTTTACGCGGTACAAATTCGGTTCGGTACAGCCTATTATAATAATAAACTACTTATCATAATCAACGTAGTTGGTTCTGAGCACATAAAAGTCTTATCAGATGTTTGTTTATGATCTTCATAATTTATTACTAGGGTGATGATGCAATAAAAAGTAGTAGTAGTAGTAGTGGTAGTGGTAGTGGTAGTGGTAGTGGTTGCTGCTGCTGCTGATGCTGCTGCTGCTGCTGCTGCTGCTGCTGCTGTTGCTGTTGCTGTTGCTGCTGTTGTTGTTGTTGTTGTTGTTTGCTTAATTTTTTTCCTATTATGCAAGCCTACTCGTCTTAAATTATGTCATTGCATGTTCTGTATCTTATCTTATATTGTTGGATGTGGCTGTTAAGGTTTAAATGTGTTTTGTTTCCTATATTTTTTATTGAGTTGAAGGTACTTTATGCAATCTAAATCTTATGAACTAGAATTATGATAGTGATTTTGCTACCCTCATTGTAACCTACTCAATTTATATAGGCCATCCTAAATAATTAGGTCTAGGCCTGGGTCTTTTGACTCTTTGGAAGATCTTTAAAATATACTAAGTATATTGGGTTGAGTCTAAGATAATGAACTAATGATTGATATGTGTGGATGTTAACTTTGTACATGAAAAGACAATAATATTACTCTGTGGTAATCCAAATTTTAGTTTGAGAAAACAACTTTGCAAGAGATGTATCCATCTTATAATTAGTTTTCAAGCTGATAAAAAATATGCTCTTTGCCATTACTTCATCATAACACCCAGTTTTTCATTGTCATCTGTTGAATGTAAATAGCTGTCAACTACACTGTTTTTGTACTGAATGCTTTTATATGTTTTTAAAAGTTTAAAATACAACTTGACATTGTATTGGTTGGAAATAATTTTTATCATGCTATTCAAAGTATCTCAGAGTAAAATAGGTAAAAATAAATAGATAGTAAATAAATAAATAAATAAGTAAATAGATAAAGCCTTTATCTTAACTGTGATTTTTCTTGACACAATCCTTGTAGGAGTAAAAGGTTTTAATAATGTGTGGTACAGTAATTGTTGTTAGAAAACCATGAATGTAGGATACTATCCATTTTCATAGTAATGTCAATGTATTAAAATTAAAAATCGGGTAATGGTTCAGATACAGATCTGAGAAGAAAACAGCAAAAATACGGGTAGCCGCGTACCGTACCGATTTTGTACCGAGAACCGAGGTACAAAATATTGTACCGTACCGAACCGTACCGACCTTAAATTTTCTGTACCGCAGACCCCTAATTTCAAATATTTACGACTCTTGAACACAATAATAAACCCAGAGAATAGGTCCCTGTTAATAATATGTGGCTTGAAATCAGATAGTTTATACTGACTTAGCTTAGTATAATGCATTTTTAGTTTATCTCTAGCCAAAACAAAGCGTTAAGCCGGATTTTCCTAGACGTGGAAGAGGAGGGCGGAAAGCGGTGTGCGGAGAGCGGAAAAGCAATTAACATGGCGTTCCGCTCCGCTTCTAGGAAAATAGTAAGATAAAATTACCTAAGGCAAGAGAAGTCCGCTCTCTGGGTTCCTCTCTCCGCTTCCGCGCCTAGGAAAACGAAAACCCAGCTTTAATAATTTATATCAAATAGTGGTCAACGTTTGGGGAGTGAGCTGTTGTGGTGGTAAAGCGCAGGACTTTGTCCCCAAGGTTCCGGGCTCAAATCCCACCAGTGGATTTCCATTTGATAATGCTAAACGCTCTAGGTCTAGCCCTGAAGTAATGTATAAGACGGTTCCGAGACACAGCTAGGATGTGAAGAGGTGGAACAAAATATAATTGTTTTGTTTTATTGATACAGAAGAGAACATTTTTTTTTGTGTTTTAGAGACAAAGCTGTTATTGAAGTGCTGACAGAACTCAAAGCTGTTGTGGATGATCAAGTAAGTATTTCTTTGATCAAGTAGAGCTATCTACTATTATGTTGATAAGTATATGTCTGAAAGAACATGTTACAAGACTCGTTGCCCAGTGGTCTAGGACAGTAGTTCCCGGACTTTTCAGTCTAGCGACCCACCTACACCTTGCGACTCACATATTAAATAATAATAGTTCACCTGTCGCTCGAGTTCGAGCAATTGCAATGTATTACAGGTAACAGGCGTTATTTCAAAACGAATAACAGTCATAATGTCTGATAACTTAAATGAGTCAACTCAAAGATAGTTATGTACAAGGACAGGGATCAGCTAGCTTACATGGTAGACAAGAGTCCAGATTAGCGCAGGTAATACACAACACAACAGAGGAAACTTAATATTTCGTCCCAGTTAGGGACTTCATCAGAAGGGAGAAGAAAGAAGACTGGCAGTTAAGCTATCAACTTTGTAATTAAAAAACACACCTCAATACCTTCCTTGTTGCAGCAAATCTATGTACTCATTAAAATTAATGTTATTTAAATAAGAAATAAATCTGACAGTTTTCAGGGAATATTTTAGTAGAAATCCAGCCAGGTAAATGGAAATTCCCAAAAAATCTAAAAAAAATGGTTGATGTAAATGTGTTTACTATGTATGGAAATTGTTGCTCATTTATTTGTCCTTCCAATGGTATAATCTGTTTTGTGAGTCCTGCATATTATCAGTTCTAAGTATATGATGGAAAAAATAGACTGTGGAAAACTACTAAAAATGTTGTTTGGCCACCAGCTTACCGTAACCAAACGATTAAAAAAGTCGTTTGGCCGTTCTAGGGTTCTCAAATACTAATAAAACCTGCGCATATAGGACCGATAACCTTTCTTTTGGTATAATCCGTGTGTAAATCGGTCCAGTAGTATAGTCAGGGTGGCTGTTGTAAGCTTAACAATTTGGCCTCATGTTAAATCTCCATAAGAAAAGTTTAAATTTTACCCAATTAAAATGAATATTTTCAAAACACAAATAAAACCTGCACATACTGTATAGGACCGATAACCTTTCTTTTGGTACAACCCGCAGGTAATTCAGTCCAGTTGTATGGTCAGGCTAGATGTCATAAGTTTTGCAAACGTTTTTTAATATATAAGATTAGCTGTTATCATAAACTAGGTGCGGTCTCAGTTCCGCCTATTGAGCAGAGTGAACAAAATAGTTAACAAATAATCTCTTAGCACCAGGGAACCGAGCCCTGTTCAATATAGTTGATTTCGATTGTAAAATATAAAAGAAACTCTTGTCTTATTTACAACTAATTTTGAACTTAATTATTTTAAGTTTCACTGGAATTTCAATTTATTATGATGATTAAAATTTAACCTGGCAATCCACGACACATCATTTTAATTTACTGAGTTGATAGTAAAAAATCACTCATATAGGGCCCTGTTCAATATAGTTGATTTCGATTGTAAAATATAAAAGAAACTCTTGTCTTATTTACAACTAATTTTGAACTTAATTATTTTAAGTTTCACTGGAATTTTAATTTATTATGATGATTAAAATTTAACCTGGCAATCCACGACACATCATTTTAATTTACTGAGTTGATAGTTGATTTTCCCCTATATAGATTTTAGTCCTCTTTAGTGTAACCTTTGCTCAATAGTCACAACTGATGTTTTCCCTTTGTCCTGTAAATTTTAATTTGCTAGTATACTGAGACGTAGGAATTGGATAACTCAGGAACTCGCTAACTCGGTCGTGTGTCGGAACTGGCTAACTATGGAACTGGCTAACCGTCTCAGCCAGGAATTGGCTAACTCCGGAACCCTCTAACTCCTGCGGATTTTGTCCTGCAGCGGATTTCGCTAACTCTGGAAGTCGCTAACTCGGCCGCGCCCACTGCACAGAGCGTTGCCAACCTTGTACGATGAAATAATCGTACACTGCAGTATTTCAAAATGTCAGTGTCAATAAATGTTATTGTTTTTTGTTATCAATTCCACTTTTAACAGGTACCTAGCCCAAAGTAATTAAAAAGCAATTTAAAAAATCTTTAAAAAGTGATTTTTTTATTTGACTGTACAACCGGTTAATTAACATAAATTATTAAATGTTTATGATTTCGAGCTTAAAATATAAATGCCAGTATTATAGGAAAATAATAGAATATGAAAAAAATTGAACATCCAGTATTACCAATTAAACCTCTATGATGTTAAGCTAAAATACACGCAAGTTCTCAAACACGGAAAACTAATTTAATCGTGATGTCGTAATAAACCAAAACCATTGACGAATACAGTCATTAACCATCGTAACTTTCATAGATTAAAAATTAAAGGTTCGTCGTTGAATCGTCCAACTTACGTGTAAAAATATGACATAGGCTACGTTTCATATCAATTTATAGAATAGCTGTAAATCTAGGCCTAATAGCTTAAACCAAAGCATTTTAGGCCTACTAGTAAAAGCTAGTTGGCTAATTCAAAAATTGTTTGAATTTTTGAGCAATAATTAATGTAACATGTTTTAACACGGTTTTTAGATGTAAATAACATTTTTTAGATTGTAAACCTAAGCCCCACTAGTAAATAATAGGAGAAGATATAATATTCTTATATTAAACGTGATAGAGTAATTTTATTTCACGATTCTCTTAATCAATGACTTGACGGATTTTCCTGATTTTATAGTTGAGTTTCCTTTATATTGCTTTTACAATCGAAATAAACTATACCAAGCCATTGTTCGGTTCCCCGTTCCCCGGTACTGAGCTACTCAATAGACAATAGCTTTGTTGTTGGATAAGATCAGCTAATTTTAGCTATGGTCACCATTCATAAAAATGGTAACAAACAAGAACGCCTGGGTCCATTTAGAATCATAAAAACTCCAGACTTTTAAAAAGTATTGAAAGTCGTAAAATTAATATTAATTAAAGATAATTAATAGGATGACCAGCTACACTAATAGCAATAGCCTACGATAACAGAAATTTACAAATTGTATTTATGCATTGACTAATTTTTAATACAATCCATAAATAAATTACCACTTTAATGTATTGATTAATATTTATTTAAATTCAATAGCTCTATTTACAAATATATTTAATACTACAGTACTACAATTTATTTCTGTAATGACGTTTAACGTGTAAATTTTATCGGGAAGTTAATCCTGTTTTGAATCTTGAAATAATTACCAGAAATGATAAAATAATTATTTCACAAGCAGATTATTTGAATCTTGAAATAATTACCAGAAATGATAAAATAATTATTTCACAAGCAGATTAGTAAGCTTCTTTATTAATACCAAAGTCTAAACTGAACCTTTTAAACAATTAAATTAATTCAATACAAAATATTTAACATGTGATAAAACAAAACACAGTAGTTTAGAAAAAATATAACAGATCAAAAGGAAAATCAATGAAGTGAAAACATATTCAATAAAGTTCACAACAAATCCTAAAAACTATAGGCATTAAGTCTATGGCAATTACTGGAGCTTTTTTTACAATGTCTAATTGTTGGTTGCCTCAAATAGGATAGACTATTACAATACTGCTTCAATTTTTGTTAATAGATTATATGTTTCCTAACAACATAAACATAATGTAAGAACATTTAAATTTATTTTCTTGGCTAAAGTAAAGACGCAATATTGTAATACATTGTTAACGTTTTAGAATTCAGTTATTAATTAATGTACCTAGGTAAATCATGTGTCTGCTATACAAAAATAAATATTGAATCTATTTTATTTCTTTACTAATACTATGATTCAGAATTATTTCAGTAATGATACAGAAATATTAAAAAGAACCAAACTATTGTTAACACTCGCACGACAGATATAATAGATCAAATATTATATAAGCCCAGTATACAAAATACAAACTTAAACATTTTATATGCAGAAGTTCACAAAATCCTATACTCTAATACGATACGAGTAATGTTTGCTTGTATGTATGCTTGCTTGCACCAAGATCTCGAAATCGGCTCCGACGATTTTCTTCAAATGTTGTAAATAGTTTATTCCTGGAAAAAAAACGAGTAAACTGCAGTTAGAACTGCCAACAAAAATCTAATTACGTAGAAAAATGAAACTAAAAGTCAAATTTTTTAAACATTAGTCTTATGGGTTGCTAAGTAACCATCTTGGCTGAATTAAATAACAAGGAAAAGGTAAACAAAAGACTTGTAAGTTGTCTATCCACAGTATACTTGCAAATTAAAAATACAGTACAAAAGGAAAAACATCAGTTGTTACTATTGAGCAAAGATTATACTGAAGATTACTCGATACATTGTAGTCAAGGGTAGCAGTGTGGAGTGTGGGATCTGCTTATGACGATTAGGTTACGGTATTTGAACCTTTTAAACAATTAAATTAATTCAATACAAAATATTTAACATGTGATAAAACAAAACACAGTAGTTTAGAAAAAATATAACAGATCAAAAGGAAAATCAATGAAGTGAAAACATATTCAATAAAGTTCACAACATCCTCCCCCCATTTAAAATTGCTAAACAATTATGTGCAATTTTAAATCAGTAAAATCGCTGGGGCACTTTTACTTCTCTTCCACATCTGGTTTTCTTCTTAGCGAAATCAAAGACTTCGTTTTCAACTACTTCTTCTTCTTCAAGTGGTTTATTTTCTTTCATACACTCTTTTTCACAAGCTGTGATTTCTAATGGAAAAAGTCTTTGTAGTGGTCTTGTCAAAATACCATTTCCAGTTTTTAGTCTTGCGACTCTGGAGAATCCATCTCTTCCTGGATATACATCTTGTACCAACCCCAAAGGCCATCTTATTCGTTTTGTGTTATCATCTCCTATCAATACAACTTCTCCAATAATGGGTTCTCTACTTTTCTTGTTTTTTCCATTGTGAACGAGTGTAGCCAAATATTCTTTCTTAAACCTGTCTCTTAGTGATCTTCTTAGTTTGTTTATATAACACACTCTTTTATTCAAACTTAGACACTCAATTTCCTC